AACCAGGACAAAAGAGAAGCCCCCTCCTCCCACTACCTGACTAGCAAGCACGAGCAACAAAAACCAGTGATCCACCGCTGGGGGCAGGAGCTAGGGTCTGAGAGACATGCTCCAATGTGCTGCAACATGGGGAAAGCCTGATTCTAGGGGTGGATCAGGAACACTGAGAGAAGCCTTCTGGAAAAGCATTCCACAACATAACAATACAAGATAACACTGTAGAAGATGGAAGATAGTACAGCACTGAAGGTAACCATAGTAACAACCAAGTTCAAATCCAGTTCAACTCCTGACTACACTGACTCAACCTCCTACACTAATGTTGTAGCAGAAGAATAGGTGTTTATGTTTCCAGGCATAAATATGATTTACTGTACTCCCTACTGTCTTACACATTATGTCTGGCATTTAATCAAAAAATAAGACCCACAAAAAAGCAAGAAAAAACATTGTAAAAAGTGTATAAAATGAAGCAATCAATAGAACAAAATTCATGTATGACCCAGGTGATGAAACTCTTGAGGAATTTTAAATACTATGATTAATATAATTAATACCTCTACTGGAAAAGATAGACAATACACAAAAAGATGAGTAATTTTTGCTGAGAAGATGGAAACTCTAAGAAAGAGTTAAATGGAAATGGTAGATAAAAACAAACAGTAATGAACATAAAAATGCTTTTGACAGGCTCAGCGGAAGACTAACACAGCTGTGGAAAGAGTCAGTGAATTTGAAGATACAGTATATCAATAAAAATTACCCAAAGAGAAACACAAGGAGACAAAGACTGGAGAAAAAGGAAAAAAAAAAAAAAACCCCAGAGCATTTGAGAATACTGAGGCAATATCAGTCTAACATATGTAGAAACATATATTCTGGATTTATATATGTAAAAGTAAAATGTATGACAACAATAGCACAAAATATGCAATAGAGGAATTGGAATCATACTGTGGTAAGCTTTATACACCATAAATGAGGCAGAATTACAGTATTTGAATATTTAAATATAATTTATATTAAATGTTAGGGCAATCACTAACAAATAATGAGGTAAACAATAAGTTGATAGTGAAAATAAAATGAAATCACAAAAAAATACAGAAAAAAGAAAGTTAAAAAATGCAACAAATTTTAAAATTAGCAAAATTGTATTTTAATCCATCCATATCAATAATATGTAAATATCATGAATATACCAATTAAAAGACACAGATTGTCAGGTTGAATAAAAAGGCAACATCCAAATATGTACTATCACTGAAAAGCCATTTTAATTTTTTGTTAATCCTCACCCAAGGATGTTTTATTGATTTGAGAGAGAGAAAGAGAGAGAGAAAGCTATTGGCTTCCTTCTGTATACCTCCCAACCAGGGACTGAACCCACGGTTTAGGTATGTGCCCTGACCAGGGATTGAATTTACAATCTTTTGGTATATGGGACAGTGCTCCATCCAACTGAGCCACCTGACCTGGGCTGGAAAGATTTCACTTTTTAATCACAGAGAGATTCAAAGTAAAAGCATGGAGAAAAATGTATCATGTACACATCAGTTAAAAAGAAAAGTTGGAGAGCTAATGTTAATATCAAACAGACTTCAGAACAAAGACTAGATTACCAGGGATAAAGAAGTCATTTGAAAATGTTAATGCCGAAATATTATCAGGACATAACAATAATCCTAAAGATGTATACACCTACTAGTAGAATTTTAAAACAGATGCAGAAAAAAAAAACTGAAAAGAAAAATAAGCAAATGTACAATTATATTCGATGACCTCAACACTTCTCTTAGTAATTGATGAAGCAAATAGAAACAGTTTAAGGATGTAGAATACTTGACAGCATGCTCAACCAATTTGACTTTATTGGCATTTATAGAACAAGCTCACCAACAAGACCAGAATACACATTATTTTCAAGTGCACATGAAACGCTCACCAGGATAGATCATATTCTGCACAATAAAATAAACCTCAACCCATTTAAAAGATCTGAAGTCATTCAGAGTATGTTCTCTGACTGTACAATACAGAAATCAATAATACAGCGATACCTGGACAACTGAAATACTTGCAAAGTTTACAAAACACTGCGAAATAATTGGTCAAAGAAGTCTTTCAATATTTTGAATTGAGTGAATGAGAAAGCCCGACATATCAAGATCTGTGCAAGGCACTAAAGCAGGGCTTAGAAGGAAATTTATAAATTTGTATTTCAAAAGAAGAATGGTCTTAAAGATTTATGCTCCCGCCCTAAGAAAGTATAAAAAAGAATAAATTAAAACCAAAGCAAGCAGAGAGGTAACTAATGGTGGTAAAAGCATAAATGAATGGACTTGAAAATAGAAAAGCAATAGAAAAAATAAAGACAAAAGTTTGCTCTTTGAAAATATAAATAAAATTTAAAAAACTCTGATGAAGAACAATATTTCTTCAAAGTTATTCCTGGGTAGAGCTTATTCTTATGTTCATAACAATATAATTCCAATAGTCATCTAACAAATATTTACTTAGTACCAATTAGATGCCAGACACTATCTTAAATGCTTGGGACATGTCAGTGTCCAAAACAAAAATTTCTGGTGACAGCCTAACCAACAATTCAAGGCTACTTCATGAGAAGCTATAAATAAGCCATATCTTTCGTAGAATTCTTGTGGAAGTTGCTCAACTAATGGGATTAAATGCACATGACAGTTGCATGCTGGTTTCAAAATGTTTTGTACCGTATACACCCTGTAGTCAAGTTTAATTTTGAGATAACTGGGTTTATAATAAAGCCCCCAAAAGACAGAAATGTTAACAATACCCACCTGCCATACACACACACACAAGGCCTCTTCTAATGTAGAAAAATAATTTGAGTCTAAAGTGAAGTCTCCAAGCCCAACAGAGTTAACTCTTTGCTATCAATCTTTTTGCATTTCAGTTTGGGAAGTTTCTATTGCCATATCTTAAGCTCACTGATTCTCTCCTCATGGGTGTCCAGTCTACCAATAGGATTGTCAAAGGCATTCACCATTTGCTAGTGTTTTTGATTTCTAGAATTTCTTTTGGATTCTTTCTTAGGGTTTCTATCTCTCTGCTTATGTTACCCATCTGTTTTTGCATGCTGTACAGATTTTCCGTTAGAATTCTTCACATATTAATCAGAGTGACATTAAATTCCTGCTTAATAATCACTAAATCTGTGTCAAAGCTGAGTCTAGCTCTCGTGCTTACTCTGCCTTTCAGACTGTGTTTTTCCTTGCCTTTTAGCAACCTGCCTTTTGCCCTGTAGTTTTCTTGTTGAAAGCTGGACCTGGTATATTGGGTAACATAAACTGAGGTAAATAAGGCTTTAGTGAAGGGTAAGGTTTTTTTATTATATCACTAGAAGTTGGGCTGTGTTTAATGTTTGCTTTATCTGTAGGTGCCGGAGACTTCAAATTCCTCACTGTTTTGTTTTTGTCACCTGTTGCCCTTGAGTTTCCCTAAGAATTTCTCCTTAGAGTGTGTGTTTTGCAGTACTCCCAGATGTAACCAACTGTTATTACCCTGGAGCACTGTTGGTGTTGTGGTAAAGCTGGAAAAGGGAAAATATTTTTATTTATAATTAAATGTCTTATCTCTAGGGCTGTGACTTTCACAAGTGTTTCTTATCTTCTCTCCCTCCACTTAGGTGGGACAGGAAGGCTGAAGGAGGCTATAGAGAAATGTCCCAGGTGGGATAAGGCTCTAGTAAAACGGTTTCCTCTGGACAGGAGGCCTTTGTTATGGACAAGGCTCTTGACATATTTCACAATGAGTTTTCTTCTCATCCCAGAGAAGATCTTTCTTGGTTTTACATTGTGAGAACCTGCTGGGGTTCCTGGAGGCAAGACCCACGGAAGTGCGAGGGCCTCCCTGAGACTGCCGCCCTCAGTAGTTGGACTCACGCCGGTCCGCACTCAGTCTCTATCAATTCATCAAAATTACCACGTAAGCGCCACAGCTTAGGGCTGCAGTGGCTTCTGCTCCCGGGAAATAGGTCTTGGCAGTGACTCTCTGGTTTCACCTCTCTCTCCAGATTTTAGGGTGGTGGGCTGCCCTGTGACCTTGGTTCTATAATTGGTCCAAGAAAAATGATTGTTTTTTTTTCATTTATTCAGCTTTTTCTGGTAGTAAAGATGGAAATGACGACTTTTAAGCTTTTTATATATTTTGGGGCAGAAACTGAAAGTCTTTTTTGTTATTAATCTTTAAGCTGAGATATTGCTACACAAGATGGACTTCAAATTAGATAACACAAACTGCCAGGTTCTCACACTTACTACCTTAAAAACTTTTTTTTAAAGTTTTGATGAGATTTCTCTAAATATCATCTCCAAAATCAGTATTTGACTAATTTCTCTGACCCATTCCTGTCATTAAGTTCTTCCGTTTAAAATGGACTTCGGAGTTTAACCTTCCGATAAGATAAACCAGACCTATATCCTGCCATCTTTATTTTTTCTCATTGGTATCCAGACCATGTATTACATAGCAAACAATATCCATGAGGCTCATACATTTTATTCCCAAAGTTTACTAACAGCGCTTGTGTGTGTGGGAAGGAGGGTGGAGGCTGGGGTGAGGAGAAGGCTCCTGCAGGCACCGGCTACCCACAGTGCCTCACAATTTCTCAGGATGGGTGACAACGACCATACCTCCCACTGCTGAGGACAAAGGCAATCTTCAACACAGACGGAATAGGCACTGACGACACAGATGTTCTGTGCATGGAAAGTGACTTTAGCCTCAAGTACTAGATCAGGATTCGTGTATTCCTATGTAAACAGTGTCCTCAGCTTGCCGCCCTACCCCACCAAGAGAGTTTAGCCGCTGAGGGAAACCTTGAGCTCCCTAACAGATTGCAAAGAGTTTGCATCAGGACTCAAAATCTGAACTTCCCGCCTGTCTCCAATAGACCTATTAAAATAGACGCTCTGCCAGCTTCCCAAGAAGATCGCAGCCCATTGGATCTTGCTTGTCCAATGGGAGGCCGTGCCTTGGTAAGAGTCGTGGGCGCCACGAAGGCCGTTGCTGGGAAACCACATAAACACCAGAGAGCACAGCCTTTCGTTTTGTTTGCTCGTTTGCTGTAGGGGGTTGTGGCCCCCCTGGAGCAGCAGACGGGTATTTCCATCCACCAAAATGGTGAGCGACTGTGGCAGGGGTTGGGGGATTTGGGAGGGCAGGTCTCGAAACTACTTATTTATTGATTAATTGATTGAATTGTAGTTTCGATCTAGCCTGCTTCAAAAAAAAAAAAAAAAAAAAAAAATTTGAAATGCTCCACCTGAGAATTAGCGGGAAAGTTGCATTGGCTTTCAGAGGCCTCAGGTGCAATTACTTAAAGCTACTCCGCGATAGCTTCCCGCTCTTCTTGCATTTTCCCCACACTATTAGATCTCTCAGTAAAAATCTTATTTCTCAAATTTCAGGAATTTTAAGAAAAGATTAAGAACCTTTGAACAAATGAATGAGTTGAAATTTAAGTCCAGGAGAGAATGAATGAATAATTAGCAGTGGGTTGATCTGTTAACTCTATATAAGGAAAACCTGATGGGCATCGGACAGCACTTTATGGCCAAGCTTAGGGACGGGGACATGATGGGGACTGGGGAGGAGGTGGAAGTGGCAGGGGGAGAGAGGAGAAATTCCCTGCGCAATGGTAAAGACCTGGGTGTGTGTGTAGAGCTCAACTGCCTATCTTTGAATTCTAGTACAGCTATTTACTAGCTGAAGAACCTTGTAAAGTTACTTTTACTTTTGCCTCCTCATACGATAGGGAATAATAATAGTTCCTACTTCGTTGATATATCAGTATATTTACCTACCACGTTTACATTGCAATTGGTATATTTCTCTGAATTTAGGAAGGAAGCCAAAGGCCCTTCCTAACTTTATCACTGTTAAGTATCTTTGTATCATTTGTCCCTGAGGCTTCCATAAGGGTGTTTATAAAACTTAGATTTTGGAACACCAAAACATGCATACTTTTATTTTTTATTTTTTGCATTGCAGGCTTCCAAAAGGAGAACGTCGAACTTCAGTGAAAGGCACCAGAAATTAGTAGATATAAACTACAGACAAAAATTGCATGTTGAGGCACTAAAAAAGATAGGGAATCAAATCAAGGACCAAATGGTGCGGAATGAAAATGAGGACCGTGCTGAGCACAAGAGACTCCTCCGATTATTACAGAATGAACAATTTGAGTTAGATATGGAAGAGGCCATTCAAAAGGTAAGTTTTACTATTTATTCTTAACATGGGTCCCCCTCCCCCCTTTATTTTTCCTTGGAAATGATGCAAGCTAACTGCTCATGCTGGGACTGAGTAGATAGACAACAGCATTAGACAAAAGATATCTCACTGTAAGTCAGCCCAGCATAGTGGTTAAGAGCTGGGTTTTTGGTGTGTCATTGTGTCTTTGAATTCTATTATTGCTGTATAAATTGTGGATGTGAAATTCTAGATTATGTGTCTTTGAATTCTATTATTGCTGTATAAGTTGTGGATGAGGTGCTTTTACTTTTTATGCCTCATTATTAAATGAAAATAATAACAGTACCTCCTCCACATGATTGTTCTATAGTTAATGAGTTAATACATGCAAAGCCCTTGGGATAGTGCCAAGACTAGAGTTAGCACAGGTTTGATTTCATAAATATGAAATCCAAAATTACTAACACCCAGTTTTGTTCACATATGTACAATTTTGTTGCCTTCTATAAAATTCTGAAGACAAAAATGTAATACCTTTTGAATTTATTGAGATTAAACATATGTATTATTAAGTAGTAGAAAATGAACACTTATGTATTAGGTATACACTTACTTGTATTTTTTATATTTGAAATACTGCCTTGAAGAATTCAAGTACAATTTATATGTATATAATCCTAAAATATGGAGATAATTTTTCAGTGGAAATTTCTAAATATTTAAAGGGATAGGGATGGTAGAAAAAGGGAAACTGATCAGAAATGAGTTCTTATAAATGTGAAAAGGGTGTTCTGATATTTCAGTATTTTTGCATGCCTGTTTTAAGTTCACCACATTGTAGGACATCGTGGAAAGTGGCAAAAGAAAGTTTTAAAAGTAATAGCCATCTCTCTGAGTTACAAATTCCAGAAACTTAGACATGATTTTTTAGTCCTGAGCAAGATTGCTGGGTTTAGATTTTTTCTTATTTTTTTAATTTTTATTTGTCTTTAAAGATAATCCCAGATACCCTATCAACTATTCTCTGCATACTTCAGTATACATATTATAAAACAGATATCTTACATAATGCTGCTATCTCACCCAATAGAATTATCAGTAACTTCCAGGTATCATTTAATACCATTTCATAAGCAAATTTTGTGATTGTGTCAGAAATCTACTTTTTCAGTTGGTTTGTTTTAACTGGGGTCTAAACAAGGTTCACACAGTATAATAAGTTACGTCTCTTAGGTCCCACTTAATCTAAGACATCCCTTTGATCATCCTTAATTTTTTTAATATCGTGTTTCTAGCTTGATAGCTAGGCTGAATTTATCTGCTTACTTCCTCATTGGTTTCTTTAATTTGTTCTCCTATGTCTTACATTTCCTCTAAATAGAAGTTAGCTTTAAAGGCACGATTAGATTTGTGTACAACTTTCTGGCAATTACTCAAAACAGTGCTCTCCTTGACAGTGTATCACATCTGCAGGCACATGAGGACTTTCAGTGATGCTAATGTTGATCAGTGGGTTTAGTGAGACAGCCTGGTTCCTCCACTATAATGATCTCCATCAAACTTTCATCTGTAGTTCACCAATGAATCTTTTCCTTCATTAAGGGTTGCAAAACACTGATTTCTAATTTTGTTATTCCTTCCATATTTAGCTGAAATTCCTCTGTAAAGACCTTTCCCACATCAGTTAGGGTTATTTGATGCCCTAAAATACAATTCTTACTGGAAAGGGAGGTAGTTAATTTTCAGAGTAAAGAATTGGTGCCCTAGTCACTTCCATTTGTGTCTGCCTATGTTGTTGTGGTTTTTTTTATTTTGTTTTCTTTAGTTTTTGAGTTTCTCTTTTTAAAAATATCTTTATGAATTTATGGGTCTTTATAATTACATTTAATATTAATTGAATTTTTTCTGATGCTCAAATTGTCCCATCTTTGGCCAGTGGATACCCTTTTATTGCTTCTGTGTCCTTTTGACAAGACTCCCTTAATCTGTGATGGTATCCTTGCTTTCTGTTAGAACAAAATGTTCCAGGCTAGTGATGGTTAATTTTATGTGTCAACTAGACTAGGCCATGGGGTAACCAGATATTTGGTCTAACACTATCCTGAGTGTTTTTAGATGAGATTAACATTTAAACCGGCAAAATGAATAAAGCAGATTGCTCTCCCAAATGTGGTGGACCGCATCCAATGAGTTGAATGCCTGAATAGATCAAAAAGGTTAGGAGGAAACTCCTCCTTCTTCACTGCCTTCCAACTGGGAGTGGCATCTGCTTTATTCTTACCTTCACACTTGAACAGAAACATCAGTTCTTCCTGAGTCTCAAGCCTGCCAGCCTTCAGCTAGGAACTACACTATCAGTTTCCTTGGTTCTCAGTCCTTCAGGCTTAGACTGGAACTAAACCATTGGCTCTCCTGAGACTCCACCTTTTCATCCCACCCTGCAGATCTTGTGACTTCCCTGCCTTCATAATCACTTAGACCAACTCCTTATCATATTTGTTCTGTTTCTCTGGAAAGTCCTGACTAATACAAGGCAGCTTATCTTGTAAATTTCTTGCTTCACACCTGGAATTGGCTATCGTCCCAGGGAGTTGTATTATAACTTAGTGGAGATAATATTTAGAAACAATTTGAGTGCTACATGTGCTTATTATTCTTGATTTATCATTGATTCCAGGTCTTTTAGTGGACAGAACTTGGAAATATGCGTATTTTTAACTTTATTTTGAGATAAATTTAGATTTATGGAAGAGTTGCAAAAATATTATAAAGGATTTCTGTATATCCTTCATCTGAATTCCCTTTATGGTAACATCTTACATAATTGTAGAACAATTATTAAAGTGAGGAAATTAGCCTTGGTATATTACCAGTAACTAAATTACAGGATTTATTCAGATTTTAAATACTGATTTATATTAGTTTTTCCATTAATTTTTTTTCTGTTCCAATATCACAAATTACATTTAGTTTCCATGTCTCTCTAGTCTGCTCCACTCTATGAGAGTTCTTCACTTTTTCCTGTCTTTCATATCTTGACAATTAAAGACTATTTTTCATTTGTTATGTTTTCTTTTTTAATTTAACCTTTATTGTATTTTTTCGTTACTATTTAGTCCCCTATGCCACCCTCTCCCCAGCAATCACCACACCGTTGTCCGTGTCCATAAGTCCTTTCCCTCTTTGCTCAGTCCCTCCACCCTCTCACTTTCCTTTACCCGCTGTCAGCCTGCTCTCCATCTAGGAGTCTGTCCCCATTTTCCTTGTTAGTTCAGTTTGTTCATTAGATTCCAACTCATGTTGTTGCGTAAGTTATTCCTTTTAATTGCTGAATGGTATAAGTAGTATCCCAGTATGCGGATTTACCCCCGTTTATCCATTCACAAATTGAAGGAAGTCTGAGTTATTTTCAGCTTTTGGCAATTATGAATAAAGCTGCTACAAACTTTGATTACAAACATTTGTATGAACACAAAATTTCTTTTCACTTGAATAGGAATCTGGGAGTAGCATGGTTGGGTCATATGGTAGGAATATATTTCATTTTATGAGTCTGCCAAACTGGTTTCCAAAACCACTGCACCATTTTACATTTCCCCAAGTAATGTGTTAGAGTTCCAGTTGCTTTGCTGTTGCTTTTTGTTAATTTCAACTTTTATTGGGATAATTGTATATTCATATGTAGTTGTAAAAAAAATACCACAGGAGAGCCTTTGTTCTTTTCCCAGTGGTACACCTTGCAAAACTAAAGTACAATATCATAAACAAGATATCAACAATGATGCCATCCACCAGTCTTGTTCAGCTTTCCCCAGTTTTAGCTGAGCTCACGCTTGTACGTGTGCATGTGTATTTAGTTCTATACATTTGGTCACACATGTAAGTTTGCATATCCAGCACCACAGGCAAGATACAGGCATTCCATGTCCACAAGGATCCCTCATTTTGATCTTTTATAAGCAAACCCATCTGTTTGTTCCCCACATCTACCTCATCTCTCACTTTGGTAATCACTAATATGTTCTCCATTTCTATAATGTTTGTTGTCATTTTGAGAGTGTTATATATACAACTCAACAATAAAAAGAAAAAAAAATTTTAATGGGCAAAGGATTTCAATAGCCATTTCTCCAAAGAAGATGCACAAATTAGCAAGCAGCACAAAAAAAAAAAAATGCTCAACATCATTAGTAATTAGGGAGATGTAAACAAAACCACAATTAGACACCACTTTAGGCCTATCATGATTATTTTTAATTGATTTCAGAGAGGGAGAGACAGACAAACATCAACTTGTTCCAATACTTATTTATGCATTTAATAGTTGATTCTTGTATGTGCCCTGACCAGGGATCGAACCACAACCTGGGCATATGGCGACGATGCTCTAACCAACTGAGCTACCCAGCCAGGGCAATTATTCTAATTTTAAAAAAGAAAATGTTGGCCAAGATATAGAGAACTTGAAATTCCTGCCCATTGCTGACAGAAGTCTAAAATAGTGTAGTGATTGTGGAAAACACTTTGGTAGTTTCTCAAAAAGTTAAATGTAGTTACTATATTACCCAGCAGTTCCACTCAAAGTATATACCCAAGATAATTGAAAACATGTCCATACAAAAACTTTCACATGAATGTTCATAACTGCATTATTCATGATAACCAACAAGTGGAAACAATCCCAATGCCCATGAGTTGATAAACAACAGTTATTATATATATGCAATGAAATACTATACAGCTATAAAAAGGAAATACATTACTAAAATTTACTGCAGCATGTATTAACTTTGAAAACATTATGCTACACATTATGCTTTCATTCAACTAAGTGAAAGAAGCCAAACACAAAAGGCCACATATTGTATGATTTCATTTAAATGAAACACCTAGAATAGACAAATCCATAGAGATAGTAAGGTTAGTGTTTGCCAGAGGATGAGGGCTATGGTGGACCCTGGTGAGTGGCTGCTGACAGTTACGGGTTTTTTGTTGGGGGATGATAGAAACATTTCAAGACACTAAAAACTATGTCCACACAAAAACCCACACATGGATGTCATGGATGTTTATAGCAGCTTTATTCATAATTGCCAAAACTTGGAAGCTAGCAAGATGTCTTTCAGAAGGTGAATTGATAAATAACCCAGACAATACAATATTATTCAGTGCCTATAAAACGTGAGATATCAAGCTATGAAAAGACATGGAGGAACCTTAAATGTATTTTATTAAGTGAAAGAAGCCAATCTGAAAAGCCTACATATTGTATGATCCCAACTGTCTGACATTCTAGAAAAGGTGCAAAACTATGGAGACAGCGAAAAGATCAGTGGTTGTCAGGAATTTCAGGGAGGACGAGATGAATAGGCAGAGCACAGAGGAATTTTAGGGCAGTGAAACTAGTCTGTACGACACCATAATGGTGGGTAGATGTCATTATACATTTGTCAAAACCCATTGAATGGTTAATACCAAGAGTGAACCCTACTGTACACTATGGATGCTGTAAACTATGGATGTAGGTTGATTGTAACAAGTGTACCACCTTGGTGCAAGATGTTGATAGGGAGGGAGACCGTGCATGTGTGGAGGCAGAGAGTATATGGGGACTCTGTTCTTTCTGCTGAATTTTGCTATGAACCCGAAACTCCTAAAATAGTCTGTTTTTTAAAAAAAAATTCTGGAACTAGATAGTGGTGATGGTTGCACAATATTGTGAACATACTAAAGGACCACGAAGTTGTAAATTGTGGATTTCATGCTATGTGAGTATCTCACTGTTAAAATGAAGAACATGGTCCAAGAAATTATATAAATGGGATCAAACATTACAGTCCCTGTAACTTTTTGGGACTGGGTTTTTTTTTTCTTCTACTCAGCCTAATTCCTATAGATTCATCTAGGTTGTTGCTTATGTCAATATTCCATTCCTTTTTGTTGCTGAGTAGTATTCCATGGTACAGGATGTACCACGGTTCGTTTGACCATTCACCTGTTGAGTGAGGGGTGTCTGGTATTTCCAGCATTGGCTCTTTTAGGTAAATCTGCTGTAAACATTTGGGAACAGGTTTTTAAATAAATATGTTTTCATTTGACTGGGATAAATGCTTAGGAGTACAATTGTTGAATTGTATAGTAATGGCATATTATAACAAACTACCAAACTGTTTTTCAGAGTGGCTGTATCATATCACATCCCCACACAACAATGTGTGTGAGTAATGGAATTTCTCACCAGCATTTGGTTTTACCACTCTTTTATTTTAGCCATTCTGATAGGGATGTAGTGATATATCATTGTAGTTTTAACTTGCATTTCCTGGTGGCTCATGATGTTCAAAGTCTATTCATGTGCATATTCTTCCCTTAATACAGAATTTAATCAAACTTCTAGATCTCTCTACCATTTTATAGGAAGTACAAAAGGAAAACAGATTAAATAATATCCTCAAGATGCAATAAGTGAAATTCAGAAATGGGACATTCTGTGGGAGATAGGTTCTTATTTCCACAACAAATCAATGGCTTGAAAGGAAAAAGTGTACATGTGGGGCAACTGAAGCAGAATAAGAGACTTAAAAGAAATAATAACTAGGTGCAATATGTGGACCTTATTTGGATTTTGATTAGAACAAACTAAGAAAAAAAGCATCTTTGATACAACTGAGGAAACCTGAATATGGACAAGGTATTAGACCTTAATAAGGAATTATTTTATTGTTAATTTATTTAGACATGTTAATGGCATAGTCGTTATATAGGAAGAAATTCTTATTAGGTAGCGATCAATACTCAATTATATACATGGTAATGACATATCTAGGATTTGTTTTAAAATACACTAGAGCCCTGGCCAGGTGGCTCAGTTGGTTCGAATGTTGTCCTGTAAACCTAAAGGTTGCGGGTTCGATTCTCAGTCAAGGCACATGACTGGGTTGCAGTTTCAGTCCCTGGTCGGGGCATGTACAGAAGGCAACCAGCTGATTTTTCTCTTTCACATTGATGTGCCTCTCTCTCTCTCTTCCTGTCTCCCTCTCTAAAATCAGTAAATATATCCTTGGGTAAGGATTAAAAATAATTTTTATAATAATAAAATACTCTAGGAAAAAAACAAAGGAAAAAGTAAGTGTAGAATGGAAGAGTAGGGAAAAAAAAGTAACAAAATACTGATAATCATTGAAGATGAATGATGGCTACCTGAAGGTGTATTTTATTTTATTTCATTTTTTTACTATTAGTGATGTTTGAAATTTTCCATGATAAACTATTTGGAAAAGTATTTATTTGTATAATAGTTTGTATTTTATATTTTAAATGTTTTTTTTACTTTATATTTTTATTGTTTTTCAACTATGGTTGTCCCATTTTCCCCCCATTATTCTCCCCTGCCCTACCCACTCCCCGCGTCCCACATTCAATCCTCCCCTCCCCCTTTTCCCCCGTGTCTTTGTCACCGGGTCCTTTATACATGTTCCTTGACTTGACCCTTCCCCTTCTTTCCTCCATTATCCCCCTCCCCGACTCTGGTCACTGTCAGTTTGTTCTTTATTTCCATGTGTCTCTTTTGCTCGCTTGTTTGTTTTGTTGATTACGTTCCACTAATACGTGAGATCATGTGGCATTTGTCTTTCACTGCCTGGCTCAGTTTTGCTATCCATGTTGTTGCAAAGGATAGGAGTCCCTTCTTTCTTTCTGCTGCATAATATTCCATTGTGTAAATGTACCACAGTTTTTTGATCCACCCATTTACGGATGGGCACTTAGGCTGTTTCCAGCACTTGGCTACTGTAAATAACGCTGCTATGAACATTGGGGTGCACAGGTTCTTTTGAATTGGTGTTAGCATAAATAATTGATTGTTGCTCCGAAGGCACTTGCAGTTTTCTGATATGAACAAATTCAACCTTGATGAAAAAAATCTGATTCGGGAAGATAAACAACTAAAGTTATATGTTTTTATACTCAGGCAGAAGAAAACAAAAGATTGAGGGAACTCCAGCTTGAACAAGAAGAAAAATTGGCTATGGAACTGGCAAAACTAAAACACGAAAGTCTAAAGGATGAAAAGATGAGGCAGCAAGTAAGAGAAAACAGGTATATTGGTTTATATAAATTTCATTTATTTAGTTTTTATCTTCAAACTTTTATGTAATGCTTAGTACCTGGGAGTGAAATTTCTTTCTTTATATCATTGTACTTAGTTAATTTTGCCTCGAAATACTTACTGCTTTATATTCTATATATATTCACTTGAGAAAAGAAGTTGTATTCCTGGAAGTAAAGTGTTAATATTTAAGGTGAAAGAAATCAATTCCCTCTGCTCTTTTCTCTAAACAGAATGTTTAAAATGACCTCAAAAAAAAAAATAGACTCATGGAAACATACTCTTAAGAGAAACCTTAAGTGATGCCTCAATTAATTTTTATGCTCCTATGTAAACTTCTCAAAGTATTTCTGGAAGGTGACTGGTCAGCTGTGGTCCACACATCCAGTGGCTGTGACAGGAATTTTCTTTTTCATTCAGCCCTAACTTTGAACAATCTTTTTTCTCCTGTTGTCTCAAAATTAATTTCCCTGTAACTTCTGTGTGCTTATCTCAGTTTTGCTATCAGATGGAAAAAAAAATTTGTTCTTCTTTAGGACATCCTTTCATGTTTATGAATCCACTAAACGTTCTCTTCTGTAAGTTAAATATCCCTCATTCCTTTATTTGCTCACCATCCAGGTTCTCTTCTGTAGGTCTAATTCGGATTATTGGTGTTCCTCAGCAAAATATTGTTGCCCCAATTTCTTTCCTTATATCATCGCACTTACTCCTGGGTATTGCTTAGTACCCCTAATAGTAGGACTGTTAACCATATTGATCTAAAAAATGTTTTCTTATCATTGCCTAAGATTGAGTTACTTTTTAGGGGCAGCCATGTCACCCTTTTCATTAAAACTCAGGACTAACTAAATGCCCAGCTACTACTTAACAAATATATAGTTGAATAGATTGGAAATTGACTTTGATAGTTGTTGCATTTTATCTTAGCAGGGTTTCTGTAAAATAGGATAGGACCCATGGATGAGTTTTAGGAGTTTTGAACCTCATCAAATTATATTTATATGACCCTTGCTGGTGTGGCTCAGTTGGTTGGAGCATCACCCCATACACCAAAAAGTTGGGGGTTTGATTCCCGATCAAGGCACATACCTAAGTTTAGGTTTCCATCCCCTGTCAGGGTGCATATGGGAGGCAAGCAATCAGTGTTCCTGCCTCACATCGATGTTTTTCTCTCTCTCTTTCTCCCTTCCTTGCTCTCTAAAATCAATAAACATTTTTTTTAAATCATATGTTTGGCAAATAAACCCATGTGTATTTTTGTGTGTCCCCAACTTTTAAATTCTGTAAGGGATTATTACCTTAAAAACATGATAGAATTCTTGTTAATGTCTTTGTATTGTTCTAGTCTCAAACTGTCTTTTAGGACCTTAATTCTCCAATCATTGTTAGCTATCACTCATGGTTTTTTTATCATCAGACATGTCTTTGTCTAATTCACTGATCTAAGATTTAAATAGAAGAGCTTTCCACTTCTAGCAGTTGTACACTAGGTGATGCAGATAAATTCTCCCTCTGAGAATAGACTATCTGGAGAAAGTATAGAAGAACTAGGAGAGGAAAGAACTAGGAGAGGAAAGAAACCAGAATGGTAAGCCTGGAGCTTGTAATCTGCTGATTCCAAAAATATGAGTGAGAATTAAGTGAAGCAGAGCTTGGCAAACAAGCAGATGCCCAGGTGTTTGACATCATTCTGCAAGTTACACGCTTCAGATTTGTGCACTTTTGTGTATGTTTTACTTCAATAATACAGAATTTAATTAGATTTCATTAGATTGAAACAGATAAAGAGATAGTGTTAGCAGGTTAGTGGAAAGTATCCAGGATAAAGCACAGAGAAACAAAAGGATAGAAAAATACACTGGAGAACTTAAAAGAGATATGATGGAAATTTCTAACAGGTGTATAATTTTAGTCCTGGTGTGAGACGTGAAAGAAGATGATGCAGAGCAGTATTTGAAGAGGTTCTGGCAAAGAATTTCCAAAAATGATGGAAGACATAAAGCCATAGATTAAAATGCAATAAATAATAAAAACTACACCTATACCCATCATAGTCAAACTTTTGAAATCCAACAGTAGAAAAAAATCATAAAAATAACAAAAGTAGCCACACAAAGACTATTACCTTTAAAGGAGCAGCAATAAAAAGTATGACTTCATTTTTAGCACCAAGAGTGAAAATGAGAATACAGTAGATTTAAAGGACTGAAAGAAAATAATAGCCCATCTAAAATTATATAGATTGTGGAAATTTTCTTCAAATTTAAGGCAAAAGTAATTCAGTTGTGCACTCTTTCAAATAGAGTATGCTGCCTCTCAGCAATGCAAAACTGCTAGGAATGTCTTATTTTGTGCATAAACCATGGTAAATTTTTGACTGACATGCAGAAATGGATCAATTTCTTGAGTGTGTTCACCCAATTGCAAGTCTATGGAAATGTTTGCTGTGGTACTCAAAGTCACTTATATTAATATTAGGCTGTTTACACTTAAACTAAATTAGTTTTTTAAATGAAGGGTAAATTTTTAAAATCACTGAAATTTATTATTTAAATAATTGCATTCAGAAGTCATCATACTTTTGTTATTTGATTTTGAACACATGATTCTTTTTATCTGAGAAAATATATAAAACAATTTAATTTTATCATTGCTTTTAACTGGAGTTGGGAAACTCACTGCCTGTTTTTAGAAATCCTATGTTGAGTACAAATTAATAAATAATTATAATTAATAACAAATTATCATTTACAATAATATATAATTAAAACCTATTAATTGTATAACTATAATTAATTATAAATTATATAGTTTATTGTATAAATATATAAAATATAATTTTATTTTATAATTTATATAATTATAATTACTGCATTATTAGCACCACTATATTTATTACATAGTAAACAAATATATTTATGAAAGCAGAAAAACACTTCATATATAATTTGTATTTAACTTAAGCAAAAACAAGCTCAAAGCAGAGACAGAGAGTCTTCCCTTCTTAAATATACAACCTGTTCCTTGCTGACGCCCATACAATTATAGTCCAGATTAATAATCAAGGTCTTGATTATGAAAACTAAATATGTGATATGGATAAAAATAACATTTTCAGGTAAACAAAAACTGAATTGATTACCAATAGCCACATTGAAGGAAATACTAGCAGTTCTTTGGGTAAAAGAATGGAAATGGTCCCAATATTAATTTCAGAGCTTCAGCAAGGTAAACAAGTAGTAAATTTGGATAATTTGAGTGTGTAAATCATTTATTATATCTTTTAGGATTTAATATATGTAAAGAGTTAAAAGATAATAAATTACAACAAAAGCGAGATAGGAAGTAAATATTGTACATGGAGTTGAAGTGGTCAAGAATCTTTTAAAAATAAAATTTCACCTTTTGAAAAAAGGAGAGGGGGTTTGAGGGGCTGGAATAAAATCTGAAGGAATTAAGCAAAATAAAAAAAACCACTCAGACAAAACTTTAAAAATTTTTAAAAGCTAGAGTTGACATACAATATTAATATTAGTTTCAGGTGTACAGCATGGTGATTAGATATTTATATACCTTAGGAAGTGATCACCCTGATAAGTCTAGTATCCATCTGTCACCATACATAGTTATTACAATATCATTTGTTATATTCCCTGTGCTGTACTTTGTATCTCTGTGGCTACTTATAACTGGCAATTCATATTTCTTTATCCCTTCACCTTTTTTATCAATCTCCTCAACCATCCCCCGCAATCTGGCAACTATGAGTTTGTTCTCTATATCTGAGTTTGTTTCTGTTTTGTTCATTTATATATTTTGTTTTGTAGATTCCACATATAAGTGGTATTAGTCTTTCTCTGTCTGACTTATTTCAGTTTTGTGGCCAAGTGATACATCATTGTATATATGCACCACATGTTCTTTATCCATTTTTCTGTCAATGGACACCTAGGTTGCTTTCATATCTTAGCTATTGTAAATAATGCTGAAATAAACACAGGCATGCATATATCTTTTCAAACTAGTGTTTTTGATTTCTTTGGATAAGTACCCAGACATGGAATTGGTAGGTGATATGGTAGTTCTGCTTTTAAACTTTTTCAGGAACTTCCATATTGTTTTCCATGGTGGCTGCACCAATTTATAATCCTGCCAACAGTGCATAGGTTTCCCTTTTTTTCACCTCCTTGCCAATAGCTGTTTGTTCATTTATTGATGACAGTCGTTCTGACAGGCGTGAGGTGATTTCGCCGTGTTTTTAATTTTCATTTCCCTGATGATTTGTGATGTTGAGCATCTTTTTATATGTCTGTTGGCCATATGTATGTCTTCTTCAGAGAAATGTCAGTTCAGGTTCTGTGCCCATTTTTAATCAGATTATTTGGCGGGGGGCGGGGTTTGTTTTTTTCTTTTTTCGTTTTTGACATTAAGTTGTATGAGTTCCTTAAATATTTTGGATTTTAACTGCTTATTGGATGTATCATTGGTGAATATCATCTCCCATTCAGTAGATTGTCTTTTTATTTTGTTGATGGTTCTCTTTGCTGTGTAAGAACTTTTTAGTTGATGTCTCATTTATTTTTCTTTTGTTTCCTTTACCCAAGGAGACATATCCAAAAAAATATTGCCATATTGCTGAGTGGTGTTAAAAACTTTACTGCCTATATTTTCTTCTAGCAATTTTATAGGTTTGGGTCTTACATATAAGCTTTTAGGATATTTTGAGGTTTTTTCTTCTCTGTGGTATAAGAAAGTAATCCAGTTTCATTTTTTTTCACATGTATCTTTCCAGTTTTCAGCACTGTGTTGAATAGACCGTCTTTACCCCATTGTGTATTCTTGCCTCCTAGTCATAGATTAGTTCACCACATAAACATGGGTTTGTTCCAGGGCTCTCTATTCTGTTCCACTAATCTATGTGTCTGTTTTTAGGCCAGCACCATGCTATTTTGTTTACTATGGCCTTGTAATATAGTTCGATTTCAAGTAGCATACCTTCAGCATTGTTCTTCTTTCTCAATATTGCTTTAGCTGTTCAGTGTTTTTTGTAGTTTCATATAAATTTCAGGATTAATTTGTTTTAGTTCTGTGGAAAATGCCATTGGTATTTTGATAGGGATTGCATTGAATCTGTAGATTGCTTTCGGCAGTATGGACATTTTAATGTTAATTCTTCCTATCCATGAACACAGTATATCCTTACCCTTATTTGTGTCTTTCTCAATTTCTTTCTTCAGTGTCTTATAGTTTCCCGAGTACAGATATTTTACCTCCTTGGGTAAATTTATTCCTAGGTATTTTTTATTTTTTATACAATTGAAATGGGATTGTTTTCTTAATTTCTCATTCTGAAAGTTTGTTACTGGTATATAAAAATGCAAAGGATTTCTGAATATTAATTTTGTATCCTGCTTTACGGAATTCATTTATTAGTTCTAATAGTTTTGGGGGTTTTTTTTTGGTGTAGTCTTCAGGATTCTCTATAGTATCACATTATCTGCAAATAATGATAGTTTTACTTACTCCTGTCCAGTTTTGATGACTTCATTTTACTTCTTGTCTGATTGCTGTGGCTGAGCCTTCCAAAACTATGTTGAATAAAAGGGGTGAAAGTGGATATCCTTGTCTCTGATGTTAAAGAAAAAGCCATTAGCTTTTCATGGTTGAGTATGATATTGGCTGTGGGTTTGACATACATGGTCTTTATTACGTTGAGGTATGTTTGCTCTGTCCCTACTTTGCTGAGTTTTTTTTTTTTTAATCATAATGGATGTTGGGTTTTGTCAAGTGCTTTTTCTACATCTATTGATATGATCATATGATTTTTATCCTTCATTTTGTATAGGTAATGTATCAGGGTAATTGACTTGCTGATATTGAGCCAACTCGCATTGTAGGGATAAATCCCACTTGATCATGGTGTATGATCCTTTAAATGTATTGAAGAATTCTGTTTGCTATTATTTTGTCAAGTTTTTTTTGCATCTATGTTCATCAGGGATATTGGCCTATAATTTTCTCTTTTGGTAGTGTCTTTGATTTTGACTCAGGGCAATACTGGCCTTGTAAAATGAGTTGGGAGCCTTCTCTCCTATTATATTTTTGGAATAATTTCAGAAGGAATGGGTGTTTGATCTTCTTTGAATATTTGGTAAAATTCACCTGTGAAGACATCTAGTCTAGGGCATTTGTTTGTAGGGAGTTCTTTTTGATTACTGATTTGATTTCATTTATAGTTATTTGTCTATTCAGATTTTCTGTTTCTTCCTGATTCAGTCTTGGAAGATTGTATGTTTCTAGGAATTTATCCATTTCTTCCAGGTTGTCCAATTTGTTGGCATATAATTTTCATATAATCATTTGTATTTCTGTGGTGTCAGCTGTTACTTTCCTCTTTCATTTTTGATTTTATTTATTTGGGCCCTCTTTTTTTCTTGATGAGTCTGACTAAAAGTTTATTAATTTTATATATGCTTTCAAAGAGCCAGCTCTTGGCTTCATTGACCTTTTCTATTGTTTTTTTTTTTTTTTAACTCTGCTTTGTTTATTTCCATTCCGTTCTTTATCATTTCCTTCCTTCTACTCACTTTGGGCTATGTTTGCTTTAGGTGTAAGGTTAGATTGTTTATTTGACATTTTATAGTTCCTTTAGGTGTAAGGTTAGATTGTTTATTAGATATTTTTCTTGTTTCTTGAGGTAGGCCTGTATTGCTATGAATTTCCCTATGAAACTGCTTTGGCTATCGATTTTTGGGACATTTTGTTTTCATTTTTATTTGTTTCAAGGTACCTTTTGATTTCTTCCTTGATCTTCTTGTTAACCCATGCATTGTTTAGTAGCATGTTATTTAGCCTCCACATTTGTTTTTCAGTTTTTTTTTCTTGTAATTGATTTCTAGTTTCATACCATTGTGATTGGAGAAGATTCTTGATATCATTTCAGTATTCTGAAATTTATTGAGATTTGCTTTATGGACTTGCTTCCAGTAAGGTCAAGTTCAGCTGTCACTTTTGACCACTTTGGGGCCACCTGGTAGGACCTACAAAGTAATCTGTGATTGGTTGCTTCTTGTGCTGTGCTTGAGTGAGAGGCTATGCTGTGAACCGAGCCTGGCTGCCACGGGTTCTGAGCTGGAACACTGTGGTGGAACACTGAGCTGGAACACTGAGCTGGAACACCAGGATGTGAGCAGAGGTCAGCTGCCATTCATGCCAGGCTCGTGGCCGTTTTACTGAAGCTCTGTTCCAAGCCAAGGCTGTCTGCCTCTTACACCAGGCTTGAGGCTGCCCGATGGGACTTATAATGCAAGTTGAGGCGGGTCACTGCTTGTTCCTGGCCTGGAGCTGAATAGCAAGAGGTTGAGGGCACACTGAGGCCAACTGTTGCTTTTGGGAGGTTCGTGGAACTTTGAGAGATTTATGAAAGTCTGCAGCATGAGCAGAGGCAGGGTGCTTGTGTAGAAAAGACAATGGAAGAGGTTCAAGTTGGGTGTTCGAGTTGGGCGAGGTAGGGTTTCAGGGAATCACCGGACTGGACAAATGGAGAGCTCAGCTGGCTGGGTGGGAGGGGTGCTCAACTAAGAACCAACGGCACCTTGCTCTGGCTGGGCGGCTCAGCGGGTTGGAGCATCATCCCATAAACCAAAAGGTTGGAGGTTACAGTGTCCCATTTCACATGCATTCTGATTTTACTTTGGATGAAGAGAGAAAGGGGCATTTTTTCAAATACTTAAATAATGTAAATATGTTTTACACATTTAGAAAAAAATCTTTTAAATTTCAGATATAGACTATTTTCATAGTAATGGCCTTCAAATTTAAATTTCTGTCTTTTTTTTTTTAAACAGTATTGAGCTCAGAGAATTGGAGAAGAAATTAAAAGCAGCTTACATGAATAAAGAAAGGGCAGCTCAGATTGCTGAAAAGGATGCCATTAAATATGAACAAATGGTAATCATGTTTCTGCTCATTATGCTTTCTGTATTTTTAGGTTCATTTAGAAAACCAAAAGTAGTCCAATCTTTTGAAAATTGTTACATACTATAAAGAATTTACAGTGCTAGATTTCTCAAATACTTCAAACTTTTCAGATCCTTAAAGTATAGGGAATTATTTAATATTGAGCCTTGCTTAATGTAATATTAGAGCCTTTCAGAGACATAGAGGATTAGGTTGCTGCTTAGAATGAAAGGCTGTATTCAGTAACTCCCAGCATTCTTTATGGTCTCTAACCAATTATTCTTTGACAAACCAATACAGTACACATTGTTAGCATGATTAATATATTTTAATGTTTTTAATTTTTCATTTTTTAAATGTTCTAAAAAATAAACTATTTTATAATTTTATGTAAACTTTTGTTTTATAAACAGCAACCTCTTATCATGTTTCCTTCTATTTTTCTCTTTTTCTAACTCCTGACAAACTGCCAAGGTCAGGGCAAGAGTTACTATGGGGCAAAGGAATTTCAGACACAATCACCAATATAAATTAATTTGAATTAATGTTTAAAAGCAGGTGCATGTCATACCTTGAGCACTCATTGTCATGAAGAAAGGTTAGACATAGATGAAAAGGTCTGATTCAGTATTACACGGCCTTACAGTCCCCTTCTCTCGTTGCTTTAGAATGTTGTACAGCACTTTGTTGGCAAGAGTCCCCTCTCTCCTAGATCCCTTTCAAAAGATGTTATACGACTATTAAAGAGAAAGATGCAGAGGTAAATTTTCTCGCTTTTAATGTTGGACCATATATATTTTAGGTTAAAAGGAAAAAAATTTGCAGAAAAATCAAGTTGGAGAATAATATATATCACAGACCATTTAAAAAACCTGCCCATGTACATATGAGGATATCCACATGTGTATGTATATTAACACTATGTGTTGTATGTAATGATACACACATGTACTCATACACACATACAATTAGAGGGTGATATCAAAATATTTAACTGGTACAGTTCAGTATAGGCATCAAATAAGAATAGATGCTGACCATAGAGATACATGTGCCTATGTGTGTGCGTTAATGTAGATAAAACCTGGAGGGTTAAGAGCATGCTGTTAGCAGTGATGCATAGGAGAGGGTAGGATTTCATTTCCTAAGCCATATAGTTTTATTCTACCATTTCAAAAATAAAGTAGAATGTAAACAATATACTATTTGACCAGGAGTTTGCAGTTTTATCAAGGCAATTGTAGACATTTTCTCTGAATCATGGGACAATTGCTATATTCTTAATAAAACTCATCCACAAAAATGAAAGTCAAGTACTCCTAGGACTTGACTAGGTATCAGTCTATCTAGGTGCTAGTTTTGGTTTGGTCTTTCTAAGCCCTCTTTTTCTTAACTGTGAAAGGAGAATGCTGTCTATATAAGTGTATGGTAATCTGTAATACATGTTTTGATCATTTTATATTTTTTCTAAAGAATGTAGAACAATGTGCTAAGAAAAAGAAGCAAAGAAAGAATTTTGATTAAGTAATATTAACAGGGTGCACGTTAAATACGACAGATCAGGAATGGCATTTAGTAGCATTCATATTTTGATCTGTTTGTCCTTTTATGTTTGATGCTGCTAACCATCAAAACATTTGGGCTGTGACCATGATAGTAAAGGGCAATTTTTAAAATTGCCCCGATATATATTTAACTTAAAAATTATTTTGTTTAACTTAAAAAATAAGGGGTTGAACCCATTCAAGAAGCAATAATATCTCTAAGTCAGAAGGAGTGGTCATGTATGAGTGAAGTAAAAGCTGCAGAGAACAGACACAGCGACATACGTAATTCTCGCAAGTTAAAATGGTTAAAAGGGCCTTTAATAAGTGAGAAAAGCGGAGACTCACAAGGCCAGTGGCAGGGAAGTTTAGGCTGGGAGTAACTTAAGACTTACTCAGAGCTATAAATAGCAGACCTGTATGAAAAAAGATAGTACAGGCAGACATACCTCATTTTATTGCACTTGGCTTCCTGATGCTCCACAAATACACTGTTTTTTACAAGTTGGAAACAAGACCCTACACCATCTAAAACAGAAATCACAGCCTGCTATAGGGCGATACTCACTTTACTGTGGTGGTCTGGACCGAACCCGCAGTATCTACAAGGTGTGCCTGTACCATCCTTACTCTAAATGGCGGCTGATACATGTCAACGCAAGAAACATCCAAACCTGTAGAGAATTTTTATAAGAGTTTATTGGAGCCAAACAGATTATGCTAGGGAGCAAGAACACAAATGCTCCAGAGAATAATTTTTGCAGCTTCTTTTATTTATTCAGTGAATATTAGGAAGATTACATGGAGGTGGGAGAAAGCAAAGGAGGGTTGGATTACAGAGCAGTAAATGAGATTGTGTGCTCTGTTGAGGGTGGCTACTGCTTTATTTCCAAGGTGTGTTAACCTAGATGCACAGAAACAATGGACAGAGCTTACTTTAAGGCAAAGATAAACCTTTTACTGAAAAGCTATAGGCCTGGGGCATGACCAGCTACTAGGACCTGCCCAGGTAGGAATCTATGATCCTGTGAAATTATTCTCCATATACCCCCTTTTTTCTCATCCACATACATAATAAAGTTAAATTGTGAAAATGGCCACTATTAAATAGAAGAAAAAAATAGAAGAGAAAGATGACCACTGCTTTGGCAGTTAACAGAGTAATTAATAGAATACTTCTAATGTGACCTGTTTTTCAAATGTGGAGTTATTAATCATCCTTATTATGTATTGCCCCAAGAGAGCTACTTGAAGAAACAGGAAGGCCTCTTTACACTTTGACTCACATTCAAATCCTTCAGGTGACAGTGACTTACCTTCACTTTTTACTTACACAGATGGACATATTTTATGTGACAGGCTTTATGATATTCAATTACATCTGTTTAAAACATTCCATCACACTCTGCTCAGATTTGAAAATGGAAAGGTGAATTTTGTTTTAAAAACAGAAACGTGATGCTGAAATAGCCCAAACCATGATGGAAGAACACGAGAGAGCAACGAAGGAAGAGAGTGCTGCGGAAGACAGACGAAACAAAGTAAAAGCACAGTACTATCATGACTTAGAGAAACAACTTGAAGAGCAAGAGAAAAAAAAGCAGGAAGCCTATGAGCAGTTGCTGAAAGAGAAACTCATGATTGATGAAATTGTTAGGAAAATCTATGAAGAAGATCAACTGTAAGTTAATCCCAACCTTGTCAATGCCTAAACATTTACATTAATCTAAGGCTTATTTTGAAGGGGTAAAGCACCTAAACAGGACCTAGCACACAGTCAGTCCTCACTAATGTAATCACATAAACAGAGACCAACTCATATTTTTGTCTCTTAGCATAATAGTTAATAAATGCTTTTTAAGTGAGAATGACTAAACCTTTGTTTTTGTTGAATATGCTCATGTTGTATGTCAGAGGACTTGTTTTCTGATGAATTTCCTTGGTAGATAGCTGAAGTGTAGAGTGCTATGAGGCAGACGGTAACAGACTGTAGCCTTTCTTAAATGGGATACATTAAACTTCACTAACAGGTCAGAGAAGAAGTATAGTAAGTAGTATTTTACTCAGAAAAAACTCATACCTGTAATATATTTGGTGGCACATAACAGATACTCAAAATGTTTTGTTTCATGAATGGATGAACAAACTATACATGTTTCCAACATTATTGACTGAAGGAAATGACACACATTCTTCGATATTTTATTATTCCTGTTACTATAAAACTGCATTCCCTATTGCATTTTAGAGAAAGACAACAGAAGTTAGAAAAAATGAATGCAACTCGAAGGTATATAGAAGAGTTTCAGAAAGAGCAGGCTCTCTGGAGAAAAAAGAAACGTGAGGAAATGGAAGAAGAAAACAGAAAAATCATAGAGTTTGCCAACTTGCAGCAACAAAGAGAAGAAGATCGGATGGCAAAAATCCAAGAAAATGAAGAAAAAAGGCTACAGCTTCAGAATATGGTATTAAAATTACCACTTCAACAACACTGGAAAAATTCTGATTTTTTTTTTTTTTTTTTATGATTTGGTTCCTATAATGTCTGAGTGGTTTTTTATTCTCTTTTTTCTTTTTTAATTAATAGCTGACTCAGAAATTGGAAGAAATGCTACAGCAACGTGAAGATTTGGAACAAGTGCGACAAGAATTATACGAGGAAGAACAAGCTGAAATACATATGAGGAAACTAAAAGTAAGTTTTGGAAATTGAAAGAATGGTTAACATAGCGAATAATATCATTTAGAGATGAAACGGTAGAAAGATTGAAACCCAGCAATATTGATAATCACTTTATATTTAAATGGTAATGAACACTACAATTAAAAGAAATTTTCAGGCTTGATAAAAAAGCTAGACCAGAGCAGCAGTTCGCAAACTTCTTAAGATGTACAAGACAAGGAAACAAAGAACAAACTGACAGTGATGGGGGGTGGGGGGGAGGAAAGCCGGGAAAGAAGGGGAAGGTCCAGTGAGGGAAAGCGTAGAAAGGACCCACAGTAACAGTCACAGGGTGGGGGACCGCCAGGGAGGAGGGGGTTGGCCGAGGCAGGGGAGAGCAATGGGAAAAATTGGGGCAACTGTTAATTGAATAACAATAAAAAAAAGGCATGATGCAACTGTGTCGTCCATAAGAAACACAATTTAAATATGAAGACATATATATATTTTAAAAACAAAAGGATGGAGAAAGATACACCATGCAGACATTAATCAAAAGCAGGTTGAAGATCAAGATGATAATAGGGTGATTCATCTGGAGGATATAATAGTTGTAAATGTGTATGAACCTAAACAAAGCTTCAAACCACATAAAGCAGAACTGGCAAAAACCAAAAGGAGAAATAGACAAATCCATAATTATAATGGAAGATTTCAATACCCCTTCTCATTAATACAGTCATACCTCAGTACTTACTGGCTTCAGAACTTGTCAAACCCTGTTTTCATAGCATTTTGATGAGAAAAAAATGTTTCAGCACTTGGCGCTTGCTCAGGACTCATTGCACTTGCTAAAACTTGCATGGGTCACAATGCTGCCCCCCGAGAAAATGCTTCATCACTCATCGCTTGCTCGTGCTCGTTGGTTTCGGCACTCACCACGAGTTCCCGAATGCGTTAAGGATGAGTACCATGGTACCACTGTATATAGAATAAGTAATCAGAAAACCACAGGGATGTAGTGTTGAAAAACATCATCAACAAACTTGACCTCAAGTTAAGATGATATGCCGATTTTCTAATTGGGTAGTTTGTTCATTTACTGTAAAATTTTAAGAGTTCTTTATGTATCCTAGATACTAGTTGTTGTCAGGGATGTGGTTTACAAATATTTTCTCCTCATCTATAGCTTGCCTTTTCATTCTCCTAACGGTCTTTCTCTGAGCAAATGTTTTTGATTTCTATGAAGTCCAATTTATCAGTTTCTGTTTTTATTGGATCGAGCTTTTGGTATTATTTCTAAGAAGTCTTTGCCTAGATCCTGAATAATTATTTCCCTAAAAGTTGTTGACTTTTGCATTTCTAAATCTGTGATCCATTTTCAGTTAATATTTTGTATGTGGTATGAGACTTAGGTCAAGGTCCAGTTTTTGCCTTTGGATGTCCAGTTGCAGCCTTACAATAGCCAAGTTACGGAAATAACCCTGAAGTGTCCATCAATGGATAAATGGATAAAGAAAATAGTATACCCAAAGGAAAACAAGATTGCCCTTTTGGAAGCTACTTTTAGTGAGCAGATAAGGCATACACATACGCAATAAAATTAGATGGAAAAATTAAATGGTGTAAGAGCCCAAAAAGAGAGAGGAATATGAATTAGTGATTAGAAAAGACTTTATGGAGGAGGCAGGGTTTGAAAAGGGGATTAGACAGTGATATGTGAAGAAAAAGAGGTTGAATATGCAATGTAATGATCGAAGTGGCTATAGTTGATACTGCAGATTGGCTCCCTCAAAACCCATTCCTACTGCTTTTTGAAAACATTTGTGTACTTTATTATAAATACTATAAAGTTAAAACATTTTTCTTTTAGCTAGAATTCTTCATATGACCTAGGTCGTCTCCAGCAGTTATCTCCTCCCCTCTCAGGGTATGAAGGTGCAAGGGAGCAAAATGGGAGAGCAGCCAGGCTAGGGAGAGCTGGTCACTGGGGTAGCTTTGGTAGAGTTACTGCCTTGGGATTTGAACACTGAAATGTCAGCTTGGTTCCCTGGACCTCTGAGTCCTGTATGCTAGCTGATGGCCTGTGGTAAATCCCTTACACTTTATATTATCTGTAAGTAAGAACCCTATCATTAAGACAGTATTTTCAATGCCTTGAGGATGCTGGACTACGTGGAGCTTATATAAGAATTGGGGCAAAGTTGGTTAGATTAGAGAAGGACTTAAAATTTACATCAGTCCTAACTGAATAGATAGATGATAAAATAAAAGCAGTAAAATATTAGTAGAATCCAGGTATTAGGTATGTGGGTGATAACTATTAAATTCTTTATATATTTTTGGTTATGTTTGAAATTTTTCATAATAAAAGGTTGGGAAAATTGAAATTTGTAGGAAAGGACTTTAACTGTTCAAAGTAAATTTGAATTTTCCTGAAAAACTTCTGATTGTCATTGCTAGGTTATTGTTCTGAAAAATATTTATCAATGACCTGAACAATAGTTTCATGCAAGATTCTAGAATGATTCATAGTTGGTACAAATTTCACAGAATACAGATTTAATAAACTTCGGTGAGCCAAAGGAGTTTTAATATCAGCCCTTTTCAAAGTAGTTATGTGTTAATATGAGTACAGAGACAAGATGGTAAATATATACAAGTGAAAATGCAAAAACTAACAGGAGGCAATTCATAAGGAACATGTCCTTTATCCAGTTTACACTAGTTATCCAACTAGATTGCAGTGCTCTATGCTTTTAAACCAAACTATGCCACCGTCTCTTTATAAATCTGCTTTAAAGAAACAGTTACTGAGTTAACTTCTACATGTAATTTGTTTTTAGGAAGAAGCAGAAGAGAAATTGAGAAAGCAAAAAGAGTTGAAGCAAAATTTTATAGAACAAATGGCCTTGAAGGAACTAGTATTACAGGCTGCAAAAGAGGAAGAGGAGATCTTTAGAAAAGCTATGTTAGCTAAACTTGCTGAGGATGACCGAATAGAATTAATGAATGCTCAGAAACAAAGAATGAAGCAACTGGAGCACAGGAGGGCTGTGGAAAAACTTATTGAAGAGCGCCGCAAACAGTTCCTTGCAGACAAAGTAAGGAAAAGTGGTTTTTTTTGTAGTTATGTTTGGGGTTTGTGTTTTTTTTTTTGCCATTATCATTTAACAGCAGTCAGTTCATGTATTCATCCACTAAACAGTTACCTGAGAACATTTACGTGCCAGATGATGTTAGATATTAATCACATACATAATTTTTTCTTTCTGGTTTCCATGACTTTGATGAGTGATCTGAAAAAATAGTGACCCTAGGAAACTAGCTTTTTCAAAGAAAAGCTTTGCATTAATACTACTTTAACTAAAATAATTCTTGGCAGGAATTCCTTACTATTTCAATGGTCTCCTTTTTACCATCCCTCCCTGTAAAACAGGATTTTTTGGATGCCTTTCCTTAAGAGTTCTTTTAAGCCTTAAAACTTTTTAAAGCTAGTTGTCTCTTTTGTATCACACGGCACAGAATTTTGGTTGAGTATTCAGAACTCGTTCCTGAAGTATTCCTCCTAGAAAACTCTTGCTGCTACTCTTGGGCTTCACACAGGCTTTTAAAAATTTAATATATGGAAATACACGGTTCGACAGAAGTAACGCCTGCTTGAGTGTGGTTGGTAGGGTACGTGCATGTCTCACACAAGATGGACAGCAATTTGAACATTGCACTTAAAATGTCATATGGTGTGCCTGACTGTGATATTGTTATGTTACAGAATTACATGCTTATGCTTTTGAACTAAAAGATTTTGTAATAAAAAAGGGATGTTATTTGTGCCAGACCCTATATTTTTTTAGCTACCTCTATTCTGTTGTACCCACTTTGTCTTACACTCTGAGCTGCCATTTAGCACTGCCAAATGGTAAGTATTCAATAAATATTTGTTTAATTAATTAGGAAATCACTTCTTTAAACATTTTTTCCTTTGTAATGATATTGTCCTGAAAATATGTACTTGCCTTCCTAAAATCCCAGTCATAACACCGGGGGTGGGGGGGTAGGGGGGTGGGGCAAAAATAGGTTTACAGTTGTGAGTACATGAAACAAAGAGTTTATTCTTGTATTATTCCTTACTGTATTTTCCATATGAACTGTAAATCAACTTTTGCCTTAACATGTACATCATCTAGAATCTTTTGAAGTTAGTATCAGTAAAGAGTTCATCAATTTTATCTAATTCACTACAAAAATAGTTTTGACAACTTCTTAAGATTAATGTATTCTGTGACAATAAAATTTTCTTTACATTTCCAGCAACATGAACTGGAAGAATGGCAGTTGCAGCAAAGACGGCAGGGATGCATTAATGCGATTATTGAAGAAGAAAGACTGAAACTTCTTAAAGAACATGCTACAAAATTACTAGGATATCTCCCTAAAGTAAGTGAGATTTAACTCCAAGTCTAAGTGTCAAGACCTCTACTAGTGGAGAAAAAAACACGGTGTTAGGGTTACACAGGTCCTGGGTTTCGCTCACTTCTTGCTGTTACCAAGCAGCAGTGGGATTTTGGCCAGTCACTGAACATCTCCAAAATGAGAGTTAGTCTGGGCACATTTTTAGAATTGTGAGCTAGATTTATTGACTTGCAGGTTTTGATAATTCTTTTCTCCCCTTCTGGTGTATGTGCTCAAAAACTAAACTACCATAAAGCACTTATCCTATTTTGAACATCAATGTTGCTTATGTACAGAAAATCTTGTAACACCAGGAACAGATACATGCTTGAACTGAGTCTCTGACAGATCTGCTCTACAATAGGAGGTTGTGTTGTAGCTGGGTTCTAGATCGCCTCAGTTTTTCTTAATGGTTCATGTTTTACTGTGTTTTCCTGTTACCATTTATCCCCTCCCCGCCCATACCCTCTTCCACCTCCACTCCCCTGCTCTGTCCCCACACTGGCAATCATCACACTGTTGTCTGTGCCCACAAGTTCCTTTTTGTTTTTGCTTAATTCCTCCACTACCTTCTCAGAGCTGTCAGCCTGCTCTCTGTGAGTCTGTATCTTATTTTGCTTATTAGTTCAGTTTGCTCATTAAATTCCACATATGAGTGAAATCATACGGTATTTGTCTTTCTCTGACTGGCTTATTTCACTTAGCATAATGTTCTCCAGGTCCATCCATGCTGTTGCAAAGGGTAAAATTTTATTTTGGAAATAACTTTATAAATTTCATGTCTATATATTTGCTAGCTGTATAAGCATTCAGGGAAATATTCTGGCATTCAAAGTAACCCATAAAATATTTTTCTTGTAGGGCATATTCAAAAAAGAGGATGATATTGAAATGCTTGGTGAAGAGTTTAGGAAAGCGTATCAGAAAAGAAGTGAAATTTGTGAAGAAAAGTGATATCAAGATTTGGTAAAACCTGGATTCTTTTGTATGTTACCACTAGATGTCAGTGTAACTTTTTTTTTTAGTGATAGTACAAATCTATTGTCTATTTGAATTTTCTAAAACATCTGTTATCATTTGTAAATGGTTCTCTATAAGAAAACATTTTTCTTATAAAAATTAAAATTACTGAATAATTTAACTGCAAAATTAATTGCTTTTGGTCAAATTGTTTCGTACTAAAATTTGAAGATCTGAGTTCTACACAGAACTCAGCAATATATATATGGCTATATACATATATACATATGTATATCAAACCTAGGAGATTAACTTTCCCACACTCCTACTGTTCAGAGCTTTTTCAGCATCCCTATGATTTGCCAGGTAAGTAAGTGTTTGGAGTTAATTTGGGTTTAAAGCATCTTTTTCTGAGCATGTGACATTGTGGGGAGCAGACAGCCATGCTCTCAAGCCAAAGAGACGGGCCTCAGAAGCAGCCACCCCTGACAGCAGACTTCCAGTGTCCAGCACAGTGAGACAATTTCTGCTGCTTAAGCCACCAAAGTCTGTGGTACTTAGCAAAGTAATACAATGTTAAATCTATATTGTATGTGTTTTTAAACATTAATTTTTTAACAAATATTATTAGAAGTAACTTTTTTTAAAAAGCATCTTTTTCTTTCTATTATAAGGGAGAAAAAGGGTGAGGAATTTCAAAGTGCTTTATTACCTAATGTGCCTAATTTGTCAATAAGAACTTAAAAACACAATTTCTCTTAGATAAACTCATAATGTCGAGCTAAATCTCCAGAACATAAAATATTTTGTATTCAAGTGCAGTAGAGAAAGGTCACAAGGACAGCAGAATCAAAAGTTAAATTCCTATTTCTTTATTTTTAAAATATTTCCTTTTCCTAATATTTATATCAATTTTGCATTCTCCCAAACAGGAATTCTTGGGAATTATTTTGATTTCATTATCAAATATTTTCATTACTTATTAAGAGTGAAAATAAATCAAACCAGTACTACTTAAATGAAATGTATATCAACCACACACTGTTGGTTATGGAGACTGACTAACTTTAAGAATTTAAATTTAAGAATTTCCCCATTCAAGCGCCTTCATAAATTCCTCTTCAGTGAAAGACAGCATCTTGGCAGCTTCAATATGCATCTGTGTTTAAAAAAAAAAAATCAATGGTGTAATTTAGTATTAAAAAAAAAACCAACCACACAACAGGAAATTTGTAAAAGTGTGTTTTTTATATATATAATATGCTATCCACTTGTAAGCCCTGCCGTAGGAATGTGTACTCTAATTCCAAAAAACATGGTATTTGAAACAGTAATTACAGTCGAGGGTCAGCCTATAAAAGTCTATTTGTCCACTGGTGGTATTGTACCAACCTACTGTTGAAAGACAATTCAATAACCTTTTCAAAAAGGAAAAGAGGCAGAACCACAAATTTCTATCTTCTCACTACCAGGTAACTCATGTAAAGAATGGAACAATCGTGACTTAGAATCAGTTTTCACTCTAAGATTTCAAGAGACAAACTAGTTCCCTAAGATGATATTCATTCTTGTAGTATGGTATGTTCTTTAGTTAGGGTGTATGCATACTGTATTTGCCAGTCCTAGTTACCACATTCCTAGTCCCTTGGATGACACATGATATATAAATCTTATGTAACTTTTATACGTTTAATGCATTTTATAGAGAGAAAATTTTGTGCCTAAGCATGTCAAAACAAATATGCCTAAAGGATAGACTCACCTTCTGCCTTTTTAAAACATCAATTAATTTTAATTGTTTCTTGAAGCCTAGCATTAATTCTCCTTTTTGTTTTTCTAGTTTCTTGTTTTCTAATTTTAATGCTTCAATTTTTTTGTGTTCTTCATTTGCCATATCCTGCAAAAGAAAGGATAGAAAAATTATTAAAACTGTCATCACATCAGTAATAAAAACTGTATTTTAACAAATATAAAATTTTAGATAGTTTTCCTTGCATTACTAAATTACTGTACTTTGATAACTTTTAATGATGCTCAAATCTCTCACATTTTAAAGAATGTTTTTAAAGTAACAACTCAGCTCTAAATCCAGTAATAGCAAAGTAGCTTGTATTGGTCCAACTCTTCAGACAGTAGCAGACAGAAACTCTGGGCACAATTTTAAAAATGTTTGAAGACGTGGGTGAATTATCAACAGTAAGCAGAAGGTGGAGATGACATGGTCCTTGAAAAAATGGAAGCATACTGGTTGAGAGCACTTCCCAGTTCGTAGGTCACAGAGGGCACACCTCAAGCCAGAAGTCAGTCTTATTGGGCGGAGGAATGAGACAGCAGGGCTGCCAGCATGGTAAACATTTTCAGGTGGGAAATCCTGGAAAGAAGGGAGTCCTCAATATCTGCATTTATATTTCCCTCAAATCCTTGACAGACACCTAAATATTATGTGCAGGACGAGAGTCCTAGGAGCCCATGAAAAGCAACAGCTGTGGTGTAAACAGCTGAGTTAGAGAATTCAACTACTGCCCATGACAAGGAAGACTGAGTTTGTAATCTTGGTAAAAATTAACTGGATCAACGCTAAAGCAATCTGGACAATGCGGGAAAAGGATCAGTGAACTTTAAGACAGGGCAGAAGTTACTAAGTACAGGGAAATCTTATACAGTAAGCCCTCACTTAATATCATCGATAGTTTCTCTGACGTTAAGCAAAATAATATATAATTTCATTATAGACTAATTGATATAAACAAGAGATAAGTTACTATGGCATATCATCAACATTATAACAAAACAACATTGAATAAAATGACATTATGTGAGGATCTGCTATACTTGAAAGTCTTTCATGCAAAAGGAAAATGATACCAGAAGGAAATCTAAATCTACATACACATAAAGAAAATAAGAGTACCAGAAATAGTAACTTGGTAAATATTAGACTTTAAAAACATTTCTTTAAAAGATAATTGGGAATGATGTCAGCAGATGGCAGAGTAGGAAGCTCCAGGCCCTTGTTCCTCCAAGGAACACCATGGAAGCACTGAATACACAACATACAGATCAGTGCAGCACTGTGAGAACTCTGCAAGTTAACTAAGCAGCAGCAGCAACCAAACAAGAACCACATTCAAAATAGTAGGAAGTTTCATTGCACTTAGGTTCACCCTTTCACCTCACCCTCTTGGGCATAGTGGAAAGAAGTCTCTCAATTCCCAGCTCTTCTCTTGGGAGTGCAAAAGAAGAGCAGAACTTGGTTGTGATGTTTTGACTTATATGGGATTGCCCGAGGGACTGTTATCTGTCTCACCTGACAGAATGGTGGCAGAGTTTGAATATCAGGTTGGAGGCTGCTGAAAGCAGTGGTGGGCACTGCTGCACATGAGGGCTGCAGGGGATCTGCAAAACCACAGGTGCGAAAGGGCACGAGATTATGGACAGAGAATAAAATACAACATCGAAGGCCCTGAGAAAAAGCAGGGCCAAGACTCTCAGGAAATTAAGACATTTAAAAGGACAAAAATTCTTTAAGACCTACAGAAAAAATTAAAATGGCAACAGAAGTTCCTCCTTAGTAGTAGTAACTTGAAAGATAAATGGATTAAAAACAGGACCAACTATATGCTGTCTACAGAGATTGACTTTCAATCTAAGTACACAGATTGAAAATAAAAGAAAGCAAAAAGATATTCCTTACTAATAGTAACCAGTGGAAATAGTAATGAAAAGAATAGGTGTGGCTCTAATATCAGACAAAACAAAGTCAAAAACAGACAAAGAAGGACACTGTATAATGATAAAAGGGTTAACTCACTAAGAAGCTATAACAATTATAAATATATATGCCCAAACATCAGAGCTAAGTATATAAAGCAAATAACAGAATTGGTAGGAGAAATAGACAGCTCTATAATAACAATAGGAGACTTCAATACCCAACTTTCAATAGTGGACAGAACAATCCAAAGATTAAGGGAACAGTAATTGAACACTATAAACCACCTGGACCTAACAGACACATTCAGAACATTCCACCCAACATTTTTCTTAAGTACACATAGAGCATTCTCCAGGATAGATCATATCAGAGGCCACTAAACAAATCTTAGTAAATTTAAAAAGACTGAAATCATACAAAGTATCTTTCCTGTTCACAATACAATTAAATAGAAATCAATAGCAGAAGGAAAACAAATACGCACAAATATGTGGGAATTAAACAACATAAACAACAAATGGGTCAGAGAAGAAATCACAAGGGGATTTAGAAAATGTTTTCAGACACATTATAATGAAAACACAACACACCAAATCTTCTGGGATACAATGAAGGTAGTTCCAAAGGGAGGGATTTATAGCTGTAAATGCTTACATTAAAAATAAAGATCTCAAATCAACAACTTTACAACGTAAGTAACTAGAAAAAGAACTAAACCCAAAATTAATGATAGGAAATAATAAAGATTAATGCAGAGTTAACGAATACATAATAGAAAAACAGTATAGAAAAAAAATCAACAGTTGCTTCTTTGGGGAAAAAAAGTCGATGGAATTGATAAAACTTTACATAGACTAAAAAAAAAATAAGGCTGAAATAACTATCATCAGAAATAAAAGAGGGGACATTACAACTGATACCCCAGAAATACAAAGGATCATAAGAGAATACTATGAACACTAACAAATTGTATAATCTAGATGAAATGAATAAATTCCTAGAAGCTCACAACCTACCAAAACTGAATGATGAAGATCTAGGAAATGTGAACAGGCCTAAAACTAGTAAGGAAATTGAAACAGTAATTAAAAACCTCCCAAAAAAGAAAGCCCAGTATCAGATGGCTTTACTGGTGAATTCTACCAAACATCTAAAGAGGAATTAACACCGATTGTCCTTAAATTCTTCCAAAAAAATTGAAGAGGACAACACAATTCCAAATTCATTTTATGAAGCCAGCATTATTAACCTGGTACTAAAGCCAAAGACACCGCAATAAAATTACAGACCAATATCCCTGATGAATATTGATGGAAGAATCTTCAACAAAATAATAGCAAACTGAATTCCATAGCACATGAAAAAGATTAGACATCAAGTGGGATTTATTGCTGTATTTGCAAGGATGATTCAACAATGAAAATGAATGTAACACTCCACATTAACAGAATGAAGGAAAATAAGCACATGCTCATTTCAGTAGACATGGAAAAAGCATTTCAAAAAATTCAACATCTGTTCATGATAAAAACTCTTAACAAATTAGGTTTAGAAAGAACATCCCTCAACATAATAGACAAGTCCACAGCTAACATCATACTCAGTGGTGAAAGGCTGAAAGCTTTTCCTCTAAGATCAGGAAACAGACAAGGGTGCACACTCTCACCACTCCTATTCAACACAGTACCAGAACACCTAGCCAGAGCAATCGGGCAAGAAAAAGAAATAAAAGGCATCAACTGGAAAGGAAGAAGTAAAACTATCTGTATTTGCTAAAGACATGATTTTATATGGAGAAAATCATAAAGACTCCATGAAAAAGCTGTTAGATCTGATCAACAAATTAAAATTGCAGAACCCAAAATTAACATTCAAAACTCAGTGTTCTATACACTGATAATAAATTATCTGTAACAGAAATAAAATAATACCCTTTATAATTACACCAAAAAGAATAAAATACATAGGAATAAATTTAATCAAGAAGGTGAAAGATCTGTACACTGAAAATTATAAGACATTGATGAAAGTTATCAAAGACTCAAATGGAAAAGAATCCTGTGTTCATGAATGGAAAGAATTAGTATTGTTAAAATATCCATACAACCAAAGCCATCTATAAATTCAATGCAAACCTCTATCAAGATTCCAATGGAATTTTTTACAGATATAGAAAAAAAAAGCCTAAAATGTATATGGAAAACCACAAAAGTTACCAAAGAGACAAAGCAGGCCTGAGAAAGAAAAACAAAATGGGATGCATCATACTTCCTGATTTCCAACTATATTTAAAGCTATAGAAATCAAAATAGTATGATACTATGTAAAAACAGAAACATAAACCAATGAATGACACAGCATTGAGAGCCCAGAAGCAACCCATGCATATGGTCAACTAATATTTGACAAGGGAACTAATAATATGCAATGGGGAAACACTCTCTTCAATAAATGGTACTGGAAAAATTTATATTCACATGTAAAAGAATGAACTAGACTCCTATCTTATACCACCCACAAAAATTAGCTCAAATGTATTAAGGACTTAAATCTAAGACCCAAATCCATGAAACTCCTAGAAAAACACTTGATAGGAAATAGTAAGTAATATATACACAAAATGTCATCCCACTGTGTTCAAATCAATTACCCATTATGCAGTCCTGGGGTCAGATGTGTGTCTCGAACACATCTAAGTCATTTATGTAGGGTGGATGGTTTTATACTGAATCGCTCACATACCAAGTCATTACTTGAATTTGCAAAATGGCTGGCTAGAATTAGGAGACTCATCTGTTGTCATGGAAACAAATTTTCTTTCTACTTCTCTAACGTGTGTGCTAAAATAGAGATCAACTCTACAACCAGAATTAGCAAATCATGACATAATCGGTTATTCCATTTCATTTTATTCAGATTCTCTTTAGAATGCACCAAATTGGAAATAATATTCTAATAACATACTAATTACTGGCAACTTTTTAAAGACTTCCTAATTTGTTCATTTAATAACTTTTATTAATAAATCCCCATCATAATGCCACCATTGATGGCTTTTAAATATGAATATAGTTAAGATTATACAGTATAAACTATCTCACAGAAGACATCTTAAAACTGTAGTCACTGCAACATTTGCCTCTGTTGAACCTGGAGGACTTAGCCAAGATCAATTTTGTTCAATGTCTTCTTATGCTACTAATTTAATATCAGACATATCATTTTGTGTATGTATTGAGGGTGGCTCCTAATTTCATCATCCAAGCCACTGTCATCACGATGGAGAGATTCCAATGGAGCATCACTTTCAACTTGACAGAGGACCAAAAACTAATAGAAATATTTGTAGTGTAAAAAGTGTTTTCACACACATTGATGGTTGAGCCTTCATTTATTAAATAGCTATTTTAGGAATTGGGTGCTAATTCTATGCCAATCATTAGCTAGATACTGGGAATACGATGGTGATTCTCACAATAACTCTACAACAGTGGTTATCAAAATGTTATCTCAGAACCAGCAGCATCAGCATTTCTGGGAACCTCTTAAAACTGCACTGTCTCAGGCCTCACCCCAGCCCTACGAAAACAGAAACTCTGGAGAGGGGGCCCAGCAACCTATGTCTTAACAAGCCCTCCAAATGAACTACTGACTTATAAAATAGCCCTTTGTATTACACGTGGTCTGTTCAGAAGCTAACCAGCCATGTAATATGAAAAATAGAGACATTTATTGAAGAAGATACAAGATACAAAAAACATTGTACACAGGACAATGATGCCTCAGTCCCCTTCAAAGTAGGCATCTTGGGAACTTCACACAGTTCTCCCAATCACCATCAACTGCCCTGTTGTATTTTCCTGAATCTCATCAATGGTCTGAAATCTCTTCCCTTTCAAAGGTGATTTTAGTTTTGGGAAAAGCCAAAAGTCACAGGGCACCAAATCTGTGCTGTATGGGGGCTGAGTCTACTGAGTAATTCAATGTTTTGCCAAAAAACTCTGCATGAGTTGTGATGCATGAGCAGGCGCATTCATTGTCATGATGAAGCTGCCAATTATCCATTGCCCATAGCTTCTGAATCATCTGAATAGTTCCTACAGAAGAATGTTCAAGCTTAATGCAAAATTTGATGCAGATTCATTGCTCTACTTGCTGTCATTTTGAATGCGATAGCCACACAGTGCACATGCTCACTCAACAGCAGCTACCACCCCCACTGACTAGTGCAGTGAGGTCATCATTGTTCACACCTTTTGCACCCCATTCTCCTTGGCTGCCCGGCTACATCAATGTTAAAATGTTGTGCAAACCATTCTTGTTATATTAACAATGGCTGGACTTTTTTGGGAGAGACCTCAAATATTAGAAAAGTGAGGCTCAAGGAAGAATAAAACAAACTTGAGATACAAAAGAGTTTTTCCCACCATTTACCCCAAGATTAGAAAAGTGTCTGGCATATAATGTGGGCACACAATAAAGGTTTTTTGGGATGTAAAAAATGAGTGAACCCCCCAAAGAGCTGTGCTATCACCCAATTATAGCACTTGCCCAAGCAATATAATCCTAACTTATTGAAAATGTACATATTGATAATGAATATATTTCATTATCATTGTGACAAGAATTATAATTTAATAACTATTTAATTTTCACTCTTGCATAAAAGAGGAAGTTACCAAAGGTGATCACTACCAAAACCATTTAATTTTTCCATACCTTGTTATTTTGCCTTAATTTATTTAGCTCCAATTTATGCTTTTCTGCTTCTTCTAGAGCTCTATTCAAGCGAACTTCTGTGGCACTTTGGATAGTGGCAGCTTGTTTTTGTAGTCTTTTTTTATTTTCTAATTCCTGTACAGTAAAAGAAATATATGAAACATTTATAAATATAGGCTCCCTCTATTATTTTGCAATATTTTTCATTTCCACATTCCTTGCTTTCTCCCAAATTTTACACACACATACACATACACACACCACCCAGAGGCTGAGCACTGAGTGATAGAGGTCTTAGAACTCTTACCCTGCATTGTTATTAGAAAAATATATCTTTAAAGATATCATCATAAATTAAGCTTTCACATTACTTTTGTTTGGAATTTTCTGCCTCTTTTTATTGACCCCAAGATACAGTATACATGCCCTCTATTTTACAAGCAACTCTTTATAACTATAGTTATTCTTTAGGGAACTACCCAAAACACCAGTGTAAGATACCAACTCATAAATACTGTGTTTCTGTAAACCTGACAAATGATGTCATTAAAAAAAAAAAAGGCTGTTAAATACATAACATTCTACATTAACCTTACAGGGAAATCTCAATTCTGAGCATAAACAACAGATCTTATAGGTTATTTTTCACTTATGAGGGTGGGTTTAGACCTGCATTTCTGCAAATATTCTGATGCTGTTGCAGAGAATCTGTATTCCACACATGAAGAAACAAGAACATAGAGGATAAACTCCAAACACCACCATAATCTCATGTCCCGCCACAGATGTTACCTTTGGCTACATCAGCAGTATCTGGCTCTCTCCCAAACTATATTTCTTGCCTCTGAACCTTTGCTCATGCTCTTCCTTCTGCCCTGATTCCTCCCTACTCCTCATTTTTACCTGGCTAGTACCCCTTCACCTTTTAAGACAGCTAGGGCAATACATTATGGTTTTACCTCCTCCCAGAAATCTTTCCTCACTATCTTTCTCATTATCCTTCCAGGTTAGATGAGGTACCCTTTCTTCAGCACTTCTATAGCATCTTGATATACTTATATCATAGTACCTGTTGTATGAAATTAAATATCCATTTTGTTCATTCCCCTCTGCCTGGCTATACTGTAAACTCAAGGATAGGAACTGTCTCAAATTCTATATTCCCAGCACTTTAGTGGCATATAACAGGCACTGACAACATGTTTATTGAGTGAAATTTATTTTGTAATACTTAATCTTCTTTGCATCACCTATGATGCCTAGTGCAGAGCCTTTTACAAAGAACATACACAATAAATATGGAACTGAAATGATGCAGTTAAAAACACAGTTGCCTATTTTCTTCTTTTAAGTTTTCCTCCTGGCTATATCACTATGCTTTATATTTGAAAACTGATCTCCCTGGCTCTGAGTAATTAAGGGGAAAACAAAACAAAACACATGCTGCTCTTTATGTAGGTTTCTAAACAAATCAAACTGTGTATGAATACCATCTGCTATCACCAGCCTTCTTCACAGCTTTCTGGGTGGTGGCTTACACTAAGAGCAAGCCTGATTTATCTCACTGTTCACATGGAAAAAGACAGAGATTCTCATTAACTACAGAGTCCACAAGTCTTGGTGACTTTGTAACCTACCTCACAGAAAAATGAAAACCATTCTTTACCACATGATGTTCCCCCTGTCCCTGAATCAATACTGCCTGCTCCCTTTCTTGGGAGAAATGAAAAAGAAAAGGGATAGTCAGAAGAATAGTAAAGCAGGAAATAAAGTTTTCTTACATAAGTAAATCCATACAGAAAGGAAAAACATTATCAAAAACTTGAAAACATTTGTTTTCAATCATACTCAAGTACTTTTTACAAAGTACAGACCAGGATACCAATGCTGTTATGTTATGAGCTTGCATCCTGAAAATACTCAATAAAGTAAATTTATTTTTACAAAAAATTAAGCAGTTTTCATGTTGCTAGAAAAAAAATTTTTATAAAAAATTCTTAAGGCCTGAATTTCATATTAGTTTTAAAAGAAAAAGCTGTATAATGTAAAGAAAATCAAGTCTAACTTTAAAACTCAAATACTATGAGATCCAAGAAGAATAATATTATTCTCTCATAATTTTTAAAACATTCCTAAGTCACCAGAAGAGGGCAGGAAGAAAAAAACGTATGCCTCAGTAGCACAAGACAAAATGTTGTAAATGCTTTAAGAGTAACACAAAATGCCGTAACAATTCAGATGAGGAATATCAGACAAGCTTCTAGAAACAAGTGGCTAAGGAACAAAAAAGCAACAAACTTGGGAGTCTGAAAACCCGGCAGATACAGTAGACTCTGTTTCCATATCTGAAATTGGGAGAAATAATACCTTATTCAACACATTTATTGAACACTTATTATGTGTCATGTGCTATTCTACATGATGGGCACATGCTAATTAACCAAAGTTCCTCCCTTATAAAGCTTGAATTCTAAAGGAAGAAACATAATAAACACATACATACATATATACACGCATATATGTAATATCTGGGATAAGGACTATGAAAAAAAATAAAGGGTAAAGGCAAAGAGCAATGGGAGACGGGGCCTAATTATTTAAGGTAAAGTTGGTTAGGGTAAGGCTTCCAAATGAGGGAATGATTCATGTAAAGATCTGGAGGAAAGAATTACAGACCAGAAGAACAATGAAGACAAAGACACTGAGGCAGAAATCCACTTAGTATATTCAGAAATCACCGAGATGATCAGTGTGGCTTCAGCTGAGTGACACAGGCAGGGTGTTATTAGATCTTGAGAAAGTACAAACAGGCCAGGGGAGCTTAGGCAGACCTTGTAATCCCTTAGAAGTTTGATTTTATTCTGCATGATATGGAAAGCCCTTGGAGAGTTTTGAGTAGGGTGTGTGTATGTGTATATGTGTATGGGGGGATGCCTTTGTGTTGTGACTAAGTTTTTAAAGGATTATTCTAGCTACTGTGGTAGAGCTACTGAGTGTAAGAATACCTCTCTGGGTCACTGGAATCGTATAAGCGAAAGTAGCTTAGGCTAGGGTAGAAGTAGTGCATTTTTGAGAAGTGGTTAATTCTACATATTTTGAAGACAATTGGCAAGACTTGTTGATGGACTGGATATAAGTATGGGAAAGGAGAAGGATCAAGATGACTCAGATTTTGCAATGAAAAACTTCATGTCTTTTACTGAGAGGGAGAAAAGGAGAAGCAGGTTTACAAAGGGCAGGGAAGCAAAAGCTCCCTTTAGGATATATGAAGTTTAACAAAGTAGAGCTATTAAGTAGGCAGCAAGATGCAGGAGTCTAGAGCTCAGAGAAGAGGTCAGAGCAAGAAAAAGAAATGTGGAATTACCAACATATAGATGGTACATACAGCCATGGGGATGGATGAGAGCATCTCAGAGTTGGATACAGACAGAGAAGAGAGCCAAGGACTTGGGTGGGCCTCTGAAACCACAATCTGTAAAGCTAAGGAAAATGAGGAAGAAAATCAAGACTGGTGCTCCAGAAGCAAATGAATAGTGTTTTAAGAAAAGAGTAATCAACTGTGTCATATATGACTTTTTGCAAGAGAAAGAAAGGATAATTATAGGAACAAAATCCTTGAGTAGAAGAGAGGGTAAGGGATTAAGTGCACAGTGATCGGCTTTAAACAGAAGAGTAGCAATCCATCATAATGAGGGGGGAAACAGAGTAGAGGGGCTAGAGGCAGAAAAGTCAATAGATTTAGTGATAGGATGAGGAAGAGTTATCTTCTTATTCCATTTGCTTAATAAAATAGTGGGCAAAGTCATGAACTGAAAAAAGGAAGGTTAGAAGAGGTATTGGAAAACTGAGGTGAAAAGATAACCTGTTTAAAAATCACCTCTAAAAGTTGGAGAGGGGACTGACTTCTCAAAAAGAGGGAAAAGAAAATGGCATTCCACTTGATATTTGTAAATAAATTTAAAGTAGGACCAATCCACTGAGATTTTGGTCCAGACATAATTCACTGGTCATGAGTAGGTATGCAGTAGGAAGAAATTAGGTTTAACAAGGTTTGAGTTTATCCCACATAGTATATTTGCAGTAAATTACAGGCAATAGAGGGTAGAGTTTTGGTCAAGAGAACGGGATAGGTAAATGCCATACTCACATCCTCCCACAACCCTGTCAAAATTACAACTAGACTACAGAACAACCATCATTCAGAACCACCTGAAATCTAGCAAAACAGTAGTCCTACAACAAAGGAAATAAAGAAGCCACATCGAGAATGGTGGGAAGGGTGTAGACAACACAGGCCAGTTCCACACATGTGCCAATTAAAAATTACGAATTGGGAGGGATATCTCAGCTGTGGAGGTCCCCCTGAGGAGCAGCATGTCCAAAGACCATACATAGCTGGCCCCCCATCCCAGTGCTGGGAAAAAAAGCCCCCATAACTTCTGGCTGTGAAGACCAGCAGGGATTGTAGCTGAGTGAGACAGAGGGCTCCTGGAGTCCCAGGGGTTCCTCTTAAAAGGCCCATACACATACTTACTTGGACTTACTTGCTCTGAGCTCCAGCACTGAGGCAGCAGCTTGTAAGGTGCCAGGGACATACAGGGAGGAACCTAATTGCCTGGCTTTGGGGCAAGAGTTGGAGTGGCAGTTTTCTCCAAGACAGAAGTGCTGGCAGTGGCCATTGTTCCTCTACTGAGCCATCTACCCAGACAGCCCACACACACATGCCATATCTGAGTCCCCATCAACCTGGCTAACTAACACTACTTGACTCAACTTGCTAGCCCATTCAGGCCATTTCCAGTAGCCCTTTCCATACAAATGGCCTGTCTTGGATCATGCTGCAGAATTTTCTAAACCTTCTCAAAGGTTCATAAACTAAAGAAGCAGCATCAGGCCTCAGCATGCCCTGTACCTCTTGCTAAGTAGCCTCATGCCCGGCACTACTAGCAACTGGCCTCAGTTCACAGCTTGATTTCTCCTGGATACTGCCAACCCCAGCACAACTCGCAGCCATCTGCAGATCACTATAGTACATGCTGGGTGGCCCCAGACAGGGCACAAGTGAGAGCTGATTTTGACCTGCACCTCCAGGGAGGTCCCAGAGCCAGTGCACCTGGTGCCCAGCTTCAGACTAT